CCTTAGGGATAGGGAATCCCAAGAAGAATTCTTGTGACGCTCTAAGAACATCTTCCTTTATAATCTCCCAGGCAGATTTGAAAAAATTCCCATTGAAGCCATCGGGTCCACTAGCACTGTCTCCATCCAACTGCCAAATGGTGTTCCTTACTTCTTCCATGGAAGGGAGAGCAGTAAGGATATCATTATCTAGCTCTGTGATGGTTTTAGGGATGTAAGGCAAAATGAGGCTGGGTGAGGAGGAGTGATCATCTGTAAATTGGGCCTTGAAGAAGGAGATTGCTTCCTCACAGATTTCTTCTTTGGTGTGCAAGCCTTTCCCATTTTTGGAAATGATGTGATTAATGGCTAGCTTCTTCTGTTTCCCTTTCACAAAAGCTTGAAATAATTTGGAGTTAGAGTCTCCTTTGTCAAGCCATTTGATGTGGGCTTTTTGTTTCCAATATTCTACTTCATTGTTGATTGCACGAACAAGTTTGGCATTGGCCAGCTGGGCAGCTTCTCTGTTGGTATCAGAGGGGGAGTTTTCATAATGAGTCTGTGCATTTAGGGCCTCATGTTCTGCATTTTTAAGCATCACAGAAATGTTGCCAAATTCCTTGGTGTTCCAGTCCCTAAGGGCTTTTTTAAGGTCATGAAGCTTGGAAACAAGACCTCTCATCCCCCCAACAGTAGGACTCTTTGTCCATGCATCCTTAACCACCTTGAGGAATTGGTCGTGATGGAGCCAGGAGTTGATAAATCTAAAGGGCCTTGCACCATGAGCTTCAGCTTGTTTGCAGTGAAGGAGTAAAGCTTTATGGTCAGAGTTGGCTTTTGGGAGATGAGCCAGGTCCACCATTGAGTAGTAGGCAAGCATGTCCAGGTTGACCATGACTCTATCAAGTCTCCTCCAGGTCCTACCTTGGCTTCTCACTCCTGACCAGGTGAAGATACCACCTGTGGGTTCAGGGCTGGTCAGTTTGCAATTTGTGATGCAGGAGTAAAAATCTTCCATGCCTTGAGTGTTGGGTGTGCATTTTCCTTTACATTCCAGGGGGGATGTGATAGCGTTGAAATCACCTCCAACAATCCACCTTTTATTTGGGCAGTATGATTGAAGCTCGTTCCAGAGTTCCCTTCGGCCATCAACTGTGTGAGCACCATATACACAAGAGATAGCAAGTGGGGAATTGTCATGGGAGAGGGTAAATTCGCAGTGGGTGACCTGTGGTTCATCAAGACTAAAAATGAGAGAGAATGAGGCATTGTTCCAGAAAATCCAGCGTTTGTTATTAGTGGAGGCAAAACAGTGAGAAAACCCCAACTTGATTCTATAGCTGTCAAGGTTTCTTACATTAACAATAGGTTCAATTAAGCAAATGAAGTCTAAACCGTGATTCCTCTTCAGTTGAATAAGTCTGTTGAGTGAAGAGGCTACTCCACAGACATTCCAAAAAAGGATCTTCATAAAAAATGATTGGGGGGTACTCCCTTAAGTTTCTTACTTCTCGTCGTCACTCCTGGTGGTGGCACTGGTTTCCTTGCTTTAGAGTGTCTTGGGATGGGCATGGATTCCCTAGGGAGACTTCTGCTGACCATGTTCATGGGTTCCAGCTCAGAGGAATCGAAAGGATAGTCTCCATCGCCACCATCTGAGTGACACACATAAGGGGGAATGCTGTCATTTTGCAAACCAACAGATTCAAAGCGTGTCCCAATCCAAGAGTCATCCATGCTTCCCATGAGAGGTTTTGGCTCAGTGTTTTCTTCCTCGAGTTGGGCTGGAACAAAAGGGACGATAGCCATGCATGTAGTGGGGGTTGAAACATCAAGGTAAGAAAGGTCTGGATAAGGCTTAGGGTTTTCATCCACCTCATGGTGATTGAGAATAGATGATGGGCCCACTATTTCGCCAATTTCCTCATCACTACCCACGTCATCTTCCACAATGGGCATGAGAATTGACCAGGGTGTAGTTGAGGCGTAGTTAAAGTTTCTCCCCCCAGGCTTAACAGTATTTTAAAAAAACCTGACAGGATGTTTGTCCTTAGGTTGTTGTATTTCCTCATGATTGCTGGACTCACCAACAAGGTGGGGTACAACCTGCCAGCCAGATTCAGTGTCCACACTCCCACGAGGATGCTGACCACCACGTCTTCTTCCTCTTACCACCTTCCATTCCATGGAATCCTGGGCCCCATCCTGTTGAGCTCCCTGAAAGTTCCCTTTTCCAGCCGGAGCATTGCCGGAAAAGGCAACCTGAGATTTTTTACGGCATGATCGGATTGAGTGCCCGAACCTTGAGCATGAGATGTAGTAGGAAGGAGAGTTATCGTATTTGCAAGGAAGCCAAAGGTCTCTTCCCCCCAACCTAACATGCACTTTAGGAGGTTTTGATATGGAGGCGTCCATCTCCACACAGAATCTGGCAGTATCCGGTTTAACCCCAATGACCGTCTTAGCATCAAGTTTGATAGGTCTACCCAACGTAGATGCTAAGGCGAAGAGAGCTTTGTGGTCATTCAGGTGAATAGGTAGGTTCAAGATTTCAACCCAGATTGGAGCGATTGGCGAGTCCTTGGAAGCTGAGTGTTGTGGAGTCCATTTACAGATTGTGATTGACTGACCCAAAATGACCCATCTTCTTCGTAAGAACCATCTTTGATAATCTTCCTCTTGCTTGAAGATAAAAAGTATCTCATGGGGGTTGATTCTCCTGAGTTTGAATTCTTTAAACGCACCTTTAATGAGGAACTGTTCAACAGCGGCAAGAGAGACTTTCCCTGAGCTGCGACCCACCAACGCCCTGTTGAATTTCCCTGCCAGAATGTTTTCTTCCTCCGAAGTGAAACAGATAGATGGAGCACCCTTGTAGAAGCCATTAATCTTACCTGGGATATCCTTGAAATCACCTTTGAAGAGATCGGTGAAAAGGGTCTTGCAATGGAGATGCTGGTGGCTTTGAAGTTTGCCGGCTGGGGTTCCGGTCGCCGGAAAACTAGAGAGAGAAGGGGCCATCCATATATATATATATATATATATAGGGATTGACTCCAGTCAGATGACACCTTACGGTGAGATGACATGGTACGGTCAGATGACGCAAAGCTCACCACTGGCCACTGCAAAGCTCACCAAGGACAACTACAAAGCTCACCAAACTCTAAGGCAAAGCTCACCATATTTTTTCAACACTTTGAATTTTTTTTTGAAAAAAAAAATCAAAGAAGGTGGACTTTGACCATTGACCGTTGACCGTGTTGGACATGAGTTCAAACCCCTTTATTATTTTTCTAGAATATTTTTTGTTTTGATAAATGACAAACAGGATGATGAAATTCAAACGATAATCGAAAATTTATTTTTTCGTACCGAGAAAAGAAAAGAGGCGTATCAAGAAAGTTACGGGATAAAATTCAACGCTCACCCCTACGCAGATTTTTGAAGTGAAGTGAAGACTCCGAAGACTTTTTAATTTTTATTGAGTCTAGGATTCTTGTAAGGATGACAATAATTTTTGCATAAACAAATTAATTTTGAGGGATAAAAATTATTATTTCTTGAGTNTATATATATATATATATATATATATATATATATATATATATATATATATATATATATATATATATATATATATATATATATATATATATATATATATATATATATATATATATATATATATATATATATATATATATATATATATATATATATATATATATATTGAAAATGGCTAATATCATTTTGGAAAATTATATCTCTGTAAAAAGTAAGTTGATTTTTCTAAATATTAAATTTTATAATTTAATGATTTCTGAAAAATTGTTTAAAATTAGTTTTGCAATTATTGAGATATAATTAATATTTTTTGGAAATAAATATTTATAAATTCTGGAAATTTATTTTTCCGATTTATAAGTGTATAAAATAGTTACTGGAAGTTGGAAATTAATTTTAATGATTTTTGAAAATTTATTTCTAATTTAAAATGAATTTTGGAATAAACATTTCACTAGGGGCATTTTCGTAATTCTGTGTTTTCTGGAAATTTATTTTCCAGTTTTGCCCCTGCCCGAAAGTCTCCTAATGTATTTAGGATTACTTGGTAAAATTTCATAATTTTTGGACCAATTTATGAATTTTTATGAATTTTAGAAAATATATACAACGTAGTATTTTTCTAGAATTATCTGGGGGAGCGCGGTTCGCCCGGTGTATGTATATCTCTATTGCCTGTGTGGATGTATGATATGCATGGTGGATGATTGTGGCTATAGTTTATTTGTTTATAATACGGCCTGCGTGTCGTGCCTTATCTCTTAAACTCTCGTTGTAAATCTATTTCTCTCTCTTACCTCAACCGAGGATTCTTTTCTCACGTGGTGGTTAGAAGATAAAAGGATTTGAAGTCCGTTCGAGACAATCTAAAGGAATGGAGATAGCCCGAAGTCCAGGAGCCTAGAAGTCAGTGGGAGCTATCGTTTTATTTTTCCTTTAGGGGCCACAATCATTACACGTTTATTTACTGCGTATTTTGAATGCATGTGAATGTATGTTTAATGCTAGTAAATTGACATGTCCGCGGCATGTGTCGTAGGTGAGATCGTAATTATTTAAAATCCCTCTAAATATTAAGTCTGTATTATTGCCTTCTGGCGCCCGACACCTTTCCGGCTAATGTGCACTGTCACGTACTCAGCCCTAGCAGAGCGTAGTACGGTGTATGTTATGCTGGTCACAGGAATCACTTAAGTTGTCATTGTCAGATGTTGGGTTAGACTTAACTGAGTCTCGGTCAAATGGATGGATGACTCAGAGGCGGGTTTTGTTGGGGTCACTATACTGACAAGTCGAATTACTTTACTCACTCATCCAGCCAGAAGTTGGGTCTCTATGACTTAATTGGGCTTGGCCCTAACTAAAGTAGTTGTGCATGTGGTACGTGCCAAAGCCAATCACATGTATCATAAAACGGTGTTCTGGTCTGTAAGTAGTATTGTCGTTCGCCCAACACAAGACCAAGAACTGTGAGCGCAACTCGAGAGTTGGAACTATGTTCCTACCTAAATAGTTAAATTCTAGGTACGAACCTCAGGTCAACTAGAATTTAATGATATATGGATCTTGGCCCATTAAGAGAATCTCTAGGAGAATCTCGGAATCAACATTGAGGGTTGTTGGTTTGTTAAAATAGTGGGAAATAATTAATTAAAAGGCCTAATTAATTATTCAACATGATAGATAACCTAGTTTGCAATTTCGTTCTGTAGATGGCATCGAATAACACGTATAGTCATTCCATCAACCTGTGGTATATCCTCGAGAGCCTAAAACTCTCTCGGGAAAACTTTCTTGACTGGGAGAAGAACCTCCGAATCGTTCTTGACTGTGAGAGGAAACTTTACATCCTCGAAACGGATACTCCCAAGACCCCTAAGGCCAATGCCCGTGCGTCCGAACTCACTTCCTTCAAGAAGTATGAGGACGACGCGCGAGATGTTAAGTGTATCATTATGGAAAGTATGACCGCAGAGCTCTAAAGGCTCCACGCGGGCATGAAAGTGCGTCATATGATACAACGCTTGAGAGACCTTTACCAGGGTCAACCCCAAAACTCAGATATTTAAGTTATCGAAGTCAATATGTCTGATTTCACCTCTTGGGTGATGGATACCGGATGTGGTTCTCACATCTTTACTTCTATGCAGAATCTGCATGAAGTTAGACATTTGGCCGAGGGAGAAGTCCAGCTTAAGGTCGGAAATGGAGCACTTGGCAATGCGCTGGCTGTAGGAACTTATGTTCTATCTCTCCCTAGTGGCTTGTTGTTGCATTTAAACAATTCTTTGTTTGTACCTGCAATTAGCAGGAATATCATTTCTGTGTGCTGTCTTGACAAAGCAGGATTTTCTATTAATGTCAAAGACAAGGGCCTTTCGGTTTTCAGAAATGATATTTACTATGCAACTGCTAAGATGATCAATCGTCTTTATATCTTAGACTTAGACGCCACTGTTTATAACATAGATGTTAAGAGAAGCAAACCAAATAGTTTGAATCTCACATACCTTTGGCATTGTCGTTTGGGCCACATTAACGAGAAACGCATATCTAAGTTACGTCACTCTGGCGTACTTGATTCATTTGACCTCAAGTCTTATGATGTATGCCAATCTTGTTTACTCGGTAAAATGACAAAGGCTCCATTCACCGGTCACGGTGAAAGGGCGAGTGATGTATTAGGCCTCACACACTCTGATGTATGTGGCCCAATCAACACTGAAGCTAGAGGTGGTTTCTCATACTTCGTAACATTTACTGACGACCTCAGTTGGTATGGAAATGTGTATCTCATGAAACACAAATCGGAATGCTTTGACAAATTCAAAGAATTCAGAAACGAAGTAGAGAAATAGTTAGGCAAAAGTATCAAGACCCTCCGCTCGGATCGAGGAGGTGAGTACTTAAGCCTGGAGTTTGATGACTATCTAAAAGAGCACGGGATCTTGTCCCAGCTGACTCCTCCCGGTACACCCCAATTAAATGGAGTGTCTGAAAGGAGAAACCGAACGCTGCTCGATATGGTTCGGAGTATGATGAGTCTGACAACATTACCAGTCTTTTTGGGGAAAAGCATTATTAACAGCAGCACACACACTCAATCACGTACCATCTAAGGCTATTGAGAGCACACCATACGAGCTATGGCGTGGGACAAAACCAAATTTGTCATACTTGAGGATTTGGGGTTGTGATGTTTACGTTAGACGCCTCATGACGTCTGGTAAGCTAGATTCCAAATCTGACAGGTGTAAATTTGTGGGATACCCTAAGGAAACGAAAGGGTATGAGTTCTATCATCCGACCGATAACAAAATCTTTGTTGCTCGGAACGGAACCTTCCTTGAGAAGGAGTTTCTCTCTGCTATTTATAGTGGGAGAAAGGTAGACCTCGAAGAAATTTGAGAACCACAAGAAGAGATCCTAATAGCAATGGAACCCGAGCGTCAAGATTTAGTATCTCGACCGGCTTAGGTTTTACCACGTAGGTCAGACCGGATGCGTAATCCTCTGGTTAGATGCGGCTTTCTTGTATCTGATGAAGGTGACGTCTTGCTAGTAGACCAAGGCGAACCTGAGACCTACCTCGAGGCAATCACGTGCCCCGAATCCGAACAATGGCTTAATGCTATGAAATCCGAAATGGAGTCTATGTACACAAACCAAGTTTGGACCTTGGTTGATGCGCTCTAAGGGATAAAACCCATACGGTGCAAGTGGATTTTCAAAAAGAAAACAGACGTAGACGGGAAGGTTCATACCTTCAAGGCTACTTGGTAGCAAAAGGTTATAGACAAATCCATGGAATTGACTATGATGAAACCTTTTCTCCAGTTGTGATGCTGAAGTCCATTCGGATAATGCTTGCAATTGCAGCATTCTATGATTACGAGATTTGGCAGATGGACGTCAAGACGGCTTTCCTTAACGGGAACCTCAAAGAGGATGTCTATATGACACAGCTTGACGGTTTTACAATTGCTGGTGAATCTGCCAAAGTCTGTAAGCTGCAACGGTCAATCTACGGATTGAAACAAGCATCTTGGAGTTGGTTTATACGCTTTGATGAAACCATCACTAGTTTTGGTTTTAAGAAGAATTCTGACGAGTCTTGTGTTTACAAGAAGGTCAGTGGTAGTGTGATAGAATTCCTAATCCTATATGTCGATGACATATTGTTAATGTGTAACGATGTTCCCGCTCTTACGTCTGTAAAGACTTGGTTGAGCGAGAACTTCGGCATGAAGGACTTGGGGAATGCTAGTTATGCCCTTGACATAAGAATCTACCGTGATAGGTCAAGAAAGTTGATAGGTCTATGTCAAAGTACATATATAGATAAGGTCCTTAATCGATTTAGCATGTCTAACTCGAAAAAGGGATCCTTGCCTATGTTACCTGGCACGGCTCTTTCCAAAAGCAAGAGTCCTTCTACTCCCGAGCAGAAGGAACTCATGAGGAAGGTCTCATATGCTTCTGCAATTGGTTCCATCATGTATGCCATGATATGTACTAGACCTGATGTCTCATTTGCTTTAAGCGTGAGCAGCAGATACCAGGGGAATCCAGGTGAAGCACACTAGACAGCAGTCAAGAACATCCTAAAGTATCTTCAGAATACTAAGGATGCATTCCTGGTATATGGAGGTGAGGAAGAGCTGAAAGTGATTGGTTACACTTATGCGAGCTTCCAAACTGATCGAGACGATTACAAGTCACAAGCAGGGTATGTGTTTTGCCTGAATGGCGGAGCTTTTAGCTGGAAGAGTTCTAAACAGGACACAACCGCCGATTCAACTAAAGAGGTTGAGTACATGGCTGCTGCTGAAGCAGCAAAGGAAGGTGTTTGGATAAAGAAGTTCATTTCTGAACTTGGAGTGGTTCCTAGCATTAATGACCCAATCCTGTTGTTCTGTGACAACACTAGGGCCATTGCACAGGCAAAGGAACCACGATCTCACCAAAAGACCAAGCACATTGTATGACGTTATCACATCATACGAGAAATCATAGACAGAGGTGATGTGGAGATTTGCAAAGTAGGAACAGATGACAACATAGCCGACCCCCTGACCAAGCCCTTGGGAAAGCTAAAGAATGAGGGTCACACTAGGTCAATGGGCATTCAACCAATGCCAGATTGGCCGTAGTGCAAGTGGGAGATTGTTGGAGTTGGTGCCCTTATGGCCAACTGCTGTTGTAATATCTTAGATATTTTCTATCATGTAAAGGCAGATGCATTAAGTTTACAAACATCTCATGCTAATTTAAACTCTTAATTGCATTCCTAGAATTATATTATAAGATGTTTATCAGAATGAGTCTTCTGATGTTGAGACTAACATCTTGTCACTTAGTATAATTCTAAACGGTCTATAGTCGAAGCATTAACGAGAGTGGGATATCGTTAGTGCGTGTGAGACTAGTGAGAGTTAGATGTTTGACCTAGTCTCTTGGTCAATGATGGAGTGTTCGCATCTACTCTCGAGCAGATATTATCATTAATAATAGGATGCCAGACCTAACCCACCTTAAGGACATTGCCTAGACTTTTAGTCTATACTCTAAGTATCCTTAATGCGACTATTGGTATAACGATCCTTAGACTTGAAGTATTACGTTCTTCGAATGTGTGAACCCGCATGCTTTGATTCATTGTCGTAAGCCGTATGAAATAAGGATGGTACACAGGCTTTGTATTGGGCATGCTGCTGCACATATTCGAAGACGTAGATTACGTACAAAGAATTTGTCACTGCTACTTAAGTAGAATAATGTCTTGTAGGGGCCCACGGATAAGTATGACTGAGGAAATGCATGGCCATGATGAGATGAGTTTAGACATCTTTTCTCATCAGTCAGACTTGTTAATCAGTAAATAACTTAATGGCTACAAGTTGGATATTTTATATCCCTTGCACTAAGTTAAGACATTGGGACAAAAGGATCTACGTTATACAAAGTCTTAGTCGTAGAAAGGTTTTGACGGAGCAAACGTCTGAACTTATAATCTGGGGATAATAATGTGTTGCTAGATACCGCTTATTACTTATAGTATTGATGTAGAGTCAATATTGTGGCCAGTTTTATAAGTGCCTATATGGGTCACACATTTTGGATAATTTTAGGAATTAGATTATAAGAAGGGATAATATTAAATTTGTATATTGTAAAATAGTAAAATAAAATTTTAATATAATATATATATATATTTGTATATATATTGTACACGGCCCACACACACATATATATACATATAATATGTACGTGCATATATATGTGTAATATGTATAAAAGGTGTACATATATATATATTTACATTATATATTATATTGTATACATTTTATTTTGGAGTGTCATTTTAATTATGAAAATAATTATTATGACAAAAACTATTTTAAAGTATATTTTATATACTTGTTTTAAAATGTTTTTGGTATTTTATTTTATATCATGAAAATTATTGATGTCAAATAAAATACACTTTAAACATTTGAGAGGAGAAGAATTATATTCCTCTCCCCTAAACACTTCGTACCTTGCTTGAGTGGGCTATGTTCCCCACTTTAAAATATGTGGAGGAGGAGTTTTTGGCAAAAACATTTTGGCCTTTAGTGGTTGTTTATGTTTTATCATTTGATTAAAATGGAACCACTTTAACACACACACTCCACTCCATTTTGTTCGGCCAAGAAAAGGAGAAGAGAGAGAGAGAGAATTCTTTTGGGTTCCAAAATAATTTTGGATGTAGAAAATTGTTATAATATTTTCTTTAAAATATTATTGATATATTTTCTACTTTTAATATACAAGATATATATTACCCTAAAATAATTTTTATATTAAATATACTATTATAATCTTTACTAGCATAAAGATTATAGTAGACTCCGGAGATTGTTCGTGTGTCAAAGTTGGAGGCCGGACGCTTGAACGGCTACGTTTGCTCCTTCAACATCTTTTGCTCGACTTCTCATTCATACCGCTTTATCGGTGAAGGTATAAGTTTTTATCTCTAGCTATAGTTTTAGTACGTATTCTTGGGCTAGTAATCACTATTGGGAGCTTAAATTTTTGTATTTCCGTTGCCCTCCCAACAGTGGTTACCTTTCAGTTGGAAATGCCTAATTTTGGTGAAGCACACGGGTGCAATGTGACCTATCTTATTACAATAATGGCAAATAACATTTGGATTATTCATCCTATATGGTTGAGTGTAGTGAGTTCTAGGTTTGCTAGGATGTGCTCTTCTAGTTTGATTATTTATCCTAGCATTGTTATTCCCCCTAGCTTTAACAAATGTTGTTTTTCTAGGTTGGTTTTTCTTATATCCAAGTCCTTCACCATTACTAACTTTTTGCTTAAGTATTTTATCTAAGGTGTTTGAAGCATTATTAAACTTTCCCAATTTTCTCTCTAAACTAGCAACCTTAGCTTTTAGTGATGTACAACTAGAGCATGTAGAAGAAGAAGTAGTTGAAGGTTCTTGTGGCCTTTTTCCAAAAGAGATAATTTCTTGTTTAAGTTTATCATTTGTATTTTTGAGTTCTTTTACATCATTCTCAAAAATCAGGATTTTTTTGTTTAACTTCATTATTTTCTTTGGAAGCCTTTTTGAACATTCCTACAAGTTCTTCTACAATGCAAACAACATCATTAAGAGTTAAAGGATCATTGGGAGAAGGTTCTTGATCACTTACCTCTTTTGATGTTTCACCATCCTCAATGGCCATGAGACACAAGTTGGCCACTTCCTCCATTTCCGAGTCTTCACTCCCGGAGCCATCGTTCTCCCAAGAAATGTAGGCACGTTGCTTCTTCGGTGCCCTCTTGTCCTTCTCGTTCTTGAGCTTCGGACACATTGGTTTGATGTTCCCAATTTCACCACACCCATAGCACTTGGGTGGAGTGTTTTTCTTGGCTCCCTTCTTGAGCATCATCTTCTTGAATTTTCGGACAAAGAGTCCGAGGTTGGTGTCGTCGCTGTCATCATCTTCATCATCAACGTTGTTGTGGGTTGATGTTTTTGCGGGTAGAGCAATAGACCTCTTGTTCCTCTCTTCAACCACCTTTGAGAGTTGGGTGGTTTCGTAGGTAATAAGTTTACCTCGAAGAGCATCATAGGTCGTTGTTTGGAAGTCACGACCTTCTTTGATTGCATCCACCTTTGAACTCCATTTTGGGGATAAGCTTCGTAACACCCTTCTCACGAGTTCTCGGTCGGTGTATGTTTTCCCGAGAAGATTGAGAGGATTGATGATGTTAGAGAACCTCTCAAACATTTCCTCAATCTTCTCGTTTTCCTTCATTGAGAAGAGTTTGTACTCATGAGTGAGGTGTGTTGGACATGAGTTCAAACCCCTTTATTATTTTTTGGATATTTTTTTTTTGATAAATGACAAAAGGGATGATTCATTTCAATCGATATTCAAAAATTTATTTTTCGTATCGAGAAAAGCAAAGAAGGGTATCAAGAAGTTTACGGCGATAAAAATCAACGCTCACCCCTACGCAGATTTTTGAAGCGAAGTGAAGACTCCGAAGACTTTTATTTTTTATTGAGTCTAGGAATATTTGTAAGGATGACAATAATTTTTGCATAAACAAATTAATTTTTGAGGGATAAAAATTATTATTTTTTAAGTCAGTTGAAAAATTATTTTTCTCTGTCTAAATTTTTTTTTTACTGACTCAGTTTCAAAATAGTGTGTCAAAATTTCTTAAAATACTTTTTAAAGATGCACAAATTTTTTGTGGTAAGAAAAATATACTTTAAAGATTTTTCTTGTACATCGTTTGGCACACAAAATATTTTTGGGACTCAATTTCTACACCAAAATTCAAATTTTGAATTTGAATTAATTCATTCCAACCTATTTGGTTTGTTTGTTTTTGGGAGCCTTATCATATTCAAATTCTTGTCCAAAACAAGTCATTAAGCTCCAAAATATTCACTCAACTCGCACACATGTTTTGGGTCCTCATGTTTGGGGTTTGTTTGTTACAAGATCGATCCTTTTGTTTGGATCGATCTCCGTGTGAGAACCCTGGGAGTTGGATCGATCCCCACATTAGATCGATCACATCAATTTGGGATATTTTCTTCGGAGGATCGATCAATCCGTATGGATCGATCCCCCGTCACTTAATCTTATTTCGCTTCCCAAATTTTAACTCCTTTGGATCGATCCTTTTCCTTGGATCGATCCCCCGAAGCTTTGACAGAAAATCTTTTTCGATCCATTACTCCAGATGATCGATCCTTTGCCCTGGATCGATCCCCAACGGTCCAATCTGTCAAAAACACTCCATCCCTACTTCCAACGGATTTATTTCTTTTTCCCCTATAAATACCCTCATCCTCCTTCATTAAAAACACATCTCTTGCACTCCAATATCTTCATTGATCAATATTCAATTCTTGCTTCCATCTTCCTCATTAAATATATTATTTTGAGAGCTAGAAATATTTTATTGAGTGCTAAAGATTTTGTCATCCATAGAGCTTTAATCCTTCAACACTACTTTGCTCAATTGTGTGAGCTTTCATCTTTGTGTTGTAAACTCAATCTTATTTGAAGGTTGTTCTTAAGACTTGTGTGACTCATCAAGTCTTGGTGTTGTAAGAAAGTGAGGCTTGTGTGATTCAAGTTCTCAAGTTGTACCGGTTTTTCAAGCACCCGTTGAAGCTTGAAGATTAGTAGGACTTTCGAGAGAGTCTCTCGGAGGACTGGACTAGCCACGAGGTGGTGAACCAGTATAAATCTCGGTGTTCTTCTTTCCCTTACTCTCTTTACTTATTCCTGCGATTTTATTATTTCACACACGCGAAAAACGCACATTCTTGAGAACAACTCTATTCACCCCCCCCTCTAGAGTTGCACATTTGTCTAACAATTGGTATCAGAGCAGGAAGTTCTTCGAATACGTTATTTTTCAGGAACTAAAAGATCAAATGGCATCAAGGATGTTCAACGCAGGAGTGACCGAGGGACAATCAACCACGAGGCCACCTTTGTTCGATGGAACAAACTACTCGTATTGGAAGGAGAGGATGAGAATCTTTATCCAATCCAACGACTACAAGCTGTGGTTGATTGTGAAGAACGGCTACGAAGTCCCGATGAAGAAAGTCGGTGAAGTCAACGTTCCCAAAACCGAAGAGGAGTTCACCGGCGAAGATTGCAAAAAGATGGAGCTCAATGCTAAGGCAATAAACATGATTTATTGCGGTGTTAATGCTGATGACTACCGCAAAATTTTGCGGTGTGAAACCGCAAAACAAATGTGGGAGAAATTGGAGGTCACCTACGAAGGAACCGCGCAGGTTCGGGAGGCCAAAATCGACCATCTCACTCACGAGTATGAACTCTTTTCAATGAAGGAAAATGAGAAGATTGAGGAAATGTTTGAGAGATTCTCTAACATCATCAATCCTCTCAATCTTCTCGGGAAGACATACACCGACCGAGAGCTCGTGAGAAAGGTGCTGCGAAGCCTATCCCCCAAATGGCGTTCAAAGGTGGACGCAATTGAAGAAGGTCGTGACTTCCAAACAACGACCTATGATGCTCTTCGAGGTAATCTTATTACCTACGAAACCACCCAACTCTCAAAGGTGGTTGAAGAGAGGAACAAGAGGTCTATTGCTCTACCCGCAACAACATCAACCCACAACAACGTTGATGATGAAGATGATGACAGCGACGACACCAACCTCGGACTCTTTGTCCGAAAATTCAAGAAGATGATGCTCAAGAAGGGAGCCAATAGCGGATGCTTGAAGGCTTCGAGTACCTAAACCGTCTCCTTGATATCTTTTGTAGGTGTGCTTGAAGGCTTCGAGTACCTCTTGGTATCTCAATAGCGGATGCTCCAAGCACATGACCGGAGACGCATCCAAATTTAGGAGTTTAGAGTATTTCAAAGGTGGCAATGTTGTTTTTGGCGACAACAACAAGGGAAGGATCATTGGAAGTGGCACCGTCGGGAGAGACAATGCTACAACCGTTGAGAACGTTCTTCTTGTTGAGGGCCTCAAGCACAATCTTCTTAGCATTAGTCAATTGTGCGATAGAGGTAACCGAGTCATCTTTGATTCTAGTAAATGCATTGTAGAACGCTTGTGTGACAATAAGACTATTCTTTGTGGTAGTAGAGTAGATAACATTTACATGTTTGATCTTGAAAATTCTCGGTCTATCTTAGCTAAGTGCCTCATTACCAAAGAGGAAGAAACGTGGCTATGGCATCGTCGGATAGCTCACGTTAATATGGACCATCTTAACAAGTTGGTTTCTAAAGACTTAGTAATTGGTGTTCCTAAACTTAAGTTTGAGAAGAATCTAATCTGTGATGCATGTCAAAAGGGGAAGCAAGTAAGGGCCTCGTTTAAATCAAAGAACATTGTTTCTACGACTAGGCCATTACAACTTTTGCACATGGACCTTTTTGGACCTTCAAGAACTATGAGTTTAGGAGGTAATTACTTTGGCTTTGTTATCGTTGATGACTATTCGAGGTTTACATGGACACTCTTTCTAGCTCATAAGTATGATGCACTTAATGCTTTTAAGAAATTCATTAAATTAGTTCAAAATGAAAAAGACTCTCACATTGCATCCATTAGAAGTGATCATGGGGGAGAATTTGATCAAGACGGCTTTGATGTCGTTTGTGACGAATTAGGCACTGAGCATAATTTTTCAGCCCCCCGTACACCACAACAAAATGGCGTGGTTGTAACGCCCCAAAATATACCCTAAAATTTATTGAATTAAATATTCAATTAAACAAAATTTGTTTTGATTAAAATAAATTATTGTTGGGCTTTGGGCTGAAATAAAATATACATTGATGTCCAATAAATATAATTGGGTTAAATCTCATAGAGATGAATCCAACCTGTTGACTTATTGTGTGATCTTGATTGGGAACCTGAGTACATACGCAAATTAAGAATAAATGAAGAAATTGTTTGTTATGTGAACTTTGAAATGATTTATTGAAATAAATCATGGAAATAAATAATATGAATTGAATATGAGCACCTTTTTGAGTAAAGGTCAAACAAAATCAATTTTGACTCTGTCAAAGTCAACCACCCAAAAATATGATGTCGGAAAAAGTAATACAAATAAATATAAAAGTTATATCATTGGATAGAGTTTAACTGTCTGATCGCAATGGTGCAAACGGAATTCAATTCGGAGAAAGTTGGACCAAAAAGTGTACCCTGACTGGGACCAAATTAGTCCCAATCAGGGAGTAACGTGCTCAATCTCTTTATAGCCGAAAGAAGATCGGTGAATTAGAAATCTACGCAGCATCTACTCAGCCTAGTTTCCTCTTCTTCTTCCCTTCTCTATATAAGGAATTCAATCTTCCTCAATTCTTCATCAAAACACTCCATATTTCCTTCTATTCTGTTCTTTGTTGAGAGAGGAGTACACTGGTGCTGCCATTTTGTTGAGAAGTCGCCGGAACTAGCCACAATCTTCGCCGGAAAATTTCCAAAACCTTCATTAAGCTTTGAGGTAAGCCCGTTGATATATCTAGTGATTAGAATGTTCATATAGATCGTTTCTACGTTCATAAACGGTCGTTTGGTTGAATTTTGTGCTTGACATGTTTGAAGAACCAAGAATCATAAACTTTGAAATTGTTGTTAAAACTACAAATTAATGGTACCAAAATGATCTATGAACCTTGGAGAACCTTTTTGTATACTTTAATTGAAGTTTGGGAACTTAAAAGGACATTTCCGCAAGTTGGCTCGAGGTAGAAGACGATGGATAATCGATTATCAACTTGATAATCGATTATGCATCGTTCTGCAGATTTTTGGAACAAAGCTGAGCAGTAATCGACTGTCAGAATGTGATAATCGATTATCAGCTCTCTCAGAAGTTTGATAATCGATTAACAGAGTGTGATAATCGATTATCAGCTCATTCTGAACATCAGACAGTAGATTATCAGAAGTGACAGTAGAATGTCTCCCTACACTATTGAAGAAAATGAAGCTAGTAATTAATAATTGAATTTCTTATCATGTATTAATCAATTATTGTTTAGAAAACATGATTTTTGAACTATGAAATCCTATTATTGATACCAATTAAACATGAATAATATAAATATGATTTTGTACAATAAAAATGATGTTTTGACATGTAAAACATTATGTGATGCATGACGGTAAGTTCGGGTGTTAACAGTTGATGCTAGGCCACTATTTGTTATTAAATATTATGATGACTGTTTGATCATGGATTGTGATGAATTAATGATGAGGAATATTCTGAATGACGATTATGAATTGTTAAATTGAGAAGAATGAATCAATGAATTGTATTGTAAGGCTACTTAGAAGACCTCTAAGATAGACTTCTGATTAGAATGGGCCTTGCGGGTATTAAACATATATTCAGTGGCCTTGGGTAAAAACGTACGTACGGGGTCCATAAACCAAACTAGAGGAACTCGTTTGGGGATACCACCCAACCCGACAGTTAGTATTCTACTGTTCGGTTTTCTGGATTTGTACCTTAAGCGAAGGCTAGTTTAAGAGTTGGTAAATCAATCGGAACATGTACCTTAAACTAATGACCTAGCTTAAGAGTTGGTTAGAAGTACCTTAAACTAGAAATAGTTTAAGAGTTGGTTAAAAGTACCTTGAACTAGAAATAGTTTAAGAGTTGGTAAGAATCAAAAGATTGGCCTTAGACTAAGTTTAGTTAAGGATATTGTTAATATTGAATATTGAATATGAATGTTGAATATTGAAATATTGAAAACATCATGAATGAATTATACATTGTGTGCATGATATCAAATGGTTGATTATGAATTAAGATTCAATTTATGTGGATGTTCGACGCATTGGATATGCTTACTCAGCTTTACCGCTGAGCGTGTAGTGTGTTTTATTTGCTACACGCAGGCCAATAGAATGATGTGACGTGATCCTGGAGGCAGATGGAGGCGAGATAGTCGGAGTGGATGTGATGGTTTTGAATTAAAGACTATAAATAAATTGTGTTTGTGGTTATGATTTGTTAAGCTTCCGCAATATTGAAAACTTTGTACTGTTTATGATATGAAAAATATTATTATGATAAATAAAAGTGTTTGAAAAGTTTTAAATTTTACGATAACCAAGTTAATACTTTAGTCCGAAAGGGGCTGCAGACCTGGACGGATTAGGGTGTTACAGTGGTTGAACGGAAAAATAGGTCTCTTGAAGAGATGGCTAGAACTATGCTCAATGAGGCAAACCTTCCTAAATATTTTTGGGCGGATGCCGTGAGTACCGCGTGCTACGTGTTAAACCGAGCCGTCATTAGACCAATACTCAAGAAAACGCCCTATGAACTTTACAAAGGAAGAAAGCCTAACCTTTCCTATTTTCATGTCTTTGGATGTAAAGTTTTTATTCATAATAATGGAAAATATAACTTGGAAAAATTTGATGCTAAGTCGGATGAAGGAATTTTCTTAGGTTATTCTCTTCGTAGTAAGGCATATAGAGTGTTCAACAAGCATACTAAGACTGTAGAGGAGTCTATTCATGTTGTCTTTGATGAATTTGATGCTCGCTTGGCGAGAAAAGGTATTGTTAATAATGTTGCAGGTTCTTATGATGATGAGGAAGAAATCGTTAAGGAAAAGGAACCGGAAGAAGAGAAAACGCAGGAACAAACGGAGCTTCGGAAGGAGTGGAGAACATTGAAGAATCACCCGATTGACAATGTCATTGGTGACATAACGCAGGGAGTTTCTACTCGTAATTCTCTTAGGAACACAATTAATCACATGGCCTTTGTTTCACAAATTGAACCAATAACCGTTTTGGATGCTATTAATGATGAACATTGGTCTATGGCAATGCAAGAGGAGCTTAACCAATTTAAACACAATGATGTTTGGGAATTGGTGCCTAGACCTAATGATCATTCCGTTATTGGCACAAAATGGGTGTTTCGTAACAAACTCGANTCAAGAGGAAGTGTATGTCGAACAACCCCCGGGTTTCGAAGACTATGAGTTTCCCGAACATGTCTTCAAACTCAAAAAGGCGCTTTACGGTCTCAAACAAGCACCTCGTGCTTGGTATGAACGGTTAAGCAAATTTCTTTTGGACCATGAGTTCAAACGGGGTCAAGTCGACACTACTCTTTTCATCAAGAAAGATAACCAAGACATCCTTTTGGTTCAAGTTTACGTAGTTGATATCATATTCGGTGCTACTAACGAGGTTTTGTGTAGGAATTTTTCCGATATGATGCAAAGTGAATTTGAAATGTCGATGATGGGAAAATTAAAGTTCTTCCTTGGGCTACAAATTAGACAATGCAAAGAAGGGACATTCGTATGTCAAACGAAATATTGCAGGGAATTGCTTAAGAGATTCGATGTTACCGAATCCAAATCCATTACACATCGATGAGCACCTCTTGCTATCTCGACAAGGATGAAAAAGGTAAAGAGGTAGACATCAAGCGCTACCGAGGTATGATCGGCTCTTTACTTTATCTTACCGTGAGTAGACCGGATATCATGTACTCCATTTGTATATGCGCTAGATATCAATCATGTCCTAAAGAGTCGCACTTGGTTGCGATCAAAAGGATAATGCGATATCTCGCGGGCACGTTGAGCGTAGGTCTTTGGTATCCCAAAGGTTCGACATGTCATCTTGTTGGCTATTCCGACTCGGATTTTGCATGTTGCAAACTCGATAGGAAAAGTACCAGCGGTACTTGCCACTTATTCGGTCGTTCGTTAATCTCGTGGTTTAGTAAGAAGCAGGTTAGTGTTGCACTTTCCACCACCGAAGCGGAATATGTCGCTGCGGGAAGTTGTTGTGCCCAAATTCTTTGGCTAAAACAGCAACTAGTGGCTTTCGGCCTTATACTTGATCACATCCCAATAAGGTGTGACAATATGAGTGCTATTAGTCTAACGAAGAACCTCGTTCTTCACTCGCGGACTAAACACATAGAAATTAGGCATCACTTCATACGAGATCATGTCCAAAAGGGAGATGTCACAATTGAGTTTGTTGAAACGAAACATCAATTGGTGGACATTTTCACGAAACCCCTTAGTAGGGTGAGTTTCTTCCACATTCGGAATGAACTTGGCATTTTGGATATCTCTATGAATTAAATCATTCTTTTTATTTACGGTACTAAGTTGAGCATCGGAGGCGCAATAATTCTTTTTTGCAGGGTATATTTTTTCAGTGTTTCAGGGCATTTTTCGAAACTTGAACAGAGGGGATCGATCTCCACAATTGGATCGATCACCCAAACCGAAGCTTTTTCAAGTTAAACTTCGGCAGATCGATCCAAGCTCTAGGATCGATCCACTGGGCTTCTGATTTTTGCAAGTACCAGTCGGCAGATCGATCCAACCCAATGGACCGATCACCTGGGCAAATTTCTCAAATCTGAATTCAGCCCAACGTCAGGAGGACCAATCCAGTCTTATGGATCGATCCATGGTTTTATTTGGTTTCAGGCTTTGATTCGGCGGATCGATCCAAGCAGATAGATCGATCACTTGGACTTAAACGGCGCAGGTAGTCTTTTACGGCGAATCGATCCCCTTATCTGGATCGATCATCTTAACTTACAGGTATATATATCAACCCTTCGCCCGTTTTATGTTTATTTTTTTTGGTCTTCGTTTCTCCTCTGCTACGACGAACGAAACAATCTGCAGGTTCAATTTCTTCGCCTCTTTCCTCAATTTCTCTCCAATTTCTTCCAAATTATTTGTTAATGGTTGCAAATTGATGATTATTGTTGCTTATGTGCTTGTTTACTTGAGATTAAGTGCTTTTTCCTTTCTCTCTTAGGGTTTCTAGTTCTTCTCGTGCTCCAACCCTAGCCACCATGTCGGATCGTCAAGGCAGTAAACGTTTGCGCACAAAATCTCATGACGGTGAACCATCAACCCAAGAGGAACGATTTTTCTCTTCATTTGTCTTTCCGAGAGGTGATTCTAAACGCCTTTTCTATAATGATTTCTTGAATCGTCCTATTTTGACACCCAAATGCGTTCTTCATTCCGTATTTTGTCATCTACCATTCCAAGATGCCACAATTTTCATTGATAGACTTGGTGTTACTTCTTTTGTTCTTGAGAATTTTCCTGTGTATTTTCCTAATCTAATTCGGTTGTTTTATACAAATCTCACTTTCAACGGACGGGTCCTCAAAATCTCTGTTAATGGCACCGACATTGAGATGACTCTCAAAGATATCGGTGAACTTTTCAAATTCTCTTTTGAGGGATGTGATTTCCACAAGTTCACATCTAAGGATTTCAAAACTTTTTCTTCTTACGACACCATTACCGAGGTGTGCCTTGAAGAAGTTCTTAGGCGAGAACGCCTAACCGTTGGAGGTCTTAAGCCTCATTTTCGAATTCTTCATTACTTCATTTTGAAAGTATTAGCTCCTCGTAAGTCGAGCCATTCCAAAATACTTATTTCGGACACTCGTCTTCTCTTCGTGTTTTTGAACAATATTAAAATCAATTGGGCAAAATTCTTTTGCAATAACCTTCTTCTCATGAAGTCTAAAGGGTCTCTTGGGTATGTGTTCCCGATCATGAACATTTTGAGAGCTTTTGGAGTGCCTTTAAAAGACATCCACGTCCAAAAGAACCACACGTGGTACATCGATGTCGCAACCTTCAACCGCTCTAATGTACCAAGGGCCGTGGAAGAAAAAGAAGGTGAAGAAGAAGGAGAAGAAGAGGGTGAAGAAGAACATGACCCGGGAGCGAACCGGAGCATGTCCAAGAAGTCGCTCAAGTGGAATCGACTCGGCGCTCCTCTCCTACTTGAGTGTCACGCTCTACTTCATCGCGCCGCGCTGATCGTTCCATCCTTCAACGGGTTTTAGATGCCGTGACTTGCACTCGCACGGATGTGGCGCATACTCGTATGGAAGTAACCATGCAAGGCCATCATCTCTCACGGCTTGAGCAGCGGATGACGGAGATAGAGCGACGACCATATTTCGGACCGCGTCACAGTTACAGTGGTAGATCCCGGCCGTCGAGCTCACTTTGACTTCTCTCTCTCTTTATGTGATGACTTTTTTATGATACATTGTTAAATGATATTATTTTATGACTCTTTTGGTGGATGATGATATTTCTTTGAATGATGCTAGTTATGGTTATTAAATATTAATTATGATTGTGTATTGATATCATTGTTGGGTTGGCAATATTGTTCTTGTTTAGAACATATTGTCCCTTTGTGGTTTTTTTACTAGTAGTTCTCTTTTAAAGAAAACTCTTGCCATTTTTTTTACTATCCTTCAATATCCCGGCATTGTTTAAGGGGGAAGCATATCGGTTGATAATGCCAAAAGGGAAAAGGAAGGATAGTTGAGAAAACTTGTTTTTCAAAATCGTTTTTCCGCTTATTACTCCGATTATTTTTTATTGCAATTCTCTAACCTTGCAGGGGGAATCAATTTAAGAGAAGTATTTCCTGATCTCACACTTTGTTTTCTCTCAACTATGTTTGTCATTATCAAAAAGGGGGAAATTGTTGGACATGAGTTCAAACCCCTTTATTATTTTTTGGATATTTTTGTTTTGATAAATGACAAACAGGATGATTCATTTCAATCGATATTCAAAAATTTATTTTTCGTATCGAGAAAAGCAAAGAAGGGTATCAAGAAGTTTACAGCGATAAAAATCAACGCTCACCCCTACGCAGATTTTTGAAGCGAAGTGAAGACTCCGAAGACTTTTATTTTTTTTATTGAGTCTAGGAATATTTGTAAGGATGACAATAATTTTTGCATAAACAAATTAATTTTTGAGGGATAAAAATTATTATTTTTTAAGTCAGTTGAAAAATTATTTTTCTCTAACTAATTTTTTTTTTTACTGACTCAGTTTCAAAATAGTGTGTCAAAATTTCTTAAAATACTTTTTAAAGATGCACAAATTTTTTGTGGTAAGAAAAATATACTTTAAAGATTTTTCTTGTACATCGTTTGGCACACAAAATATTTTTGGGACTCAATTTCTACACCAAAATTCAAATTTTGAATTTGAATTAATTCATTCCAACCTATTTGGTTTGTTTGTTTTTGGGAGCCTTATCATATTCAAATTCTTGTCCAAAACAAGTCATTAAGCTCCAAAATATTCACTCAACTCGCACACATGTTTTGGGTCCTCATGTTTGGGGTTTGTTTGTTACAGGATCGATCCTTTTGTTTGGATCGATCTCCGTGTGAGAACCCTGGGAGTTGGATCGATCCCCACATTAGATCGATCACATCAATTTGGGATATTTTCTTCGGAGGATCGATCAACCCGTATGGATCGATCCCCCGTCACTTAATCTTATTTCGCTTCCCAAATTTTAACTCCTTTGGATCGATCCTTTTCCTTGGATCGATCCCCCGAAGCTTTGACAGAAAATCTTTTTCGATCCATTACTCCAGATGATCGATCCTTTGCCCTGGATCGATCCCCAGCGGTCCAATCTGTCAAAAACACTCCATCCCTACTTCCAACGGATTTATTTCTTTTTCCCCTATAAATACCCTCATCCTCCTTCATTAAAAACACATCTCTTGCACTCCAATATCTTCATTGATCAATATTCAATTCTTGCTTCCATCTTCCTCATTAAATATATTATTTTGAGAGCTAGAAATATTTTATTGAGTGCTAAAGATTTTGTCATCCATAGAGCTTTAATCCTTCAACACTACTTTGCTCAATTGTGTGAGCTTTCATCTTTGTGTTGTAAACTCAATCTTATTTGAGGGTTGTTCTTAAGACTTGTGTGACTCATCAAGTCTTGGTGTTGTAAGAAAGTGAGGCTTGTGTGATTCAAGTTCTCAAGTTGTACCGGTTTTTCAAGCACCCGTTGAAGCTTGAAGATTAGTAGGACTTTCGAGAGAGTCTCTCGGAGGACTGGACTAGCCACGAGGTGGTGAACCAGTATAAATCT